TACTCGACAGTTCTGCTGATTAGCTCGACAACATAACAGCGAGTCATCTGCGAACAACAAGTGTGTAATAGAAGGAACCCCAATACCCACTTTAATCCCCTGTATTTTCTTTTTGCGGACATTAACATCAAGCAGGTGACTCATAACATCAGCACAGAGAATATACAGATAAGGAGACAATGGATCTCCTTGTTATAATCCTCTTTGAGGTGTAATCAAACCTTGAGGTTTCCCATTAATCAGGACTGAGTAAGTAACAGAGGAAACTGAAGCCATAATCCACTTGATCCATACTTCTGAAAAGCCAAACGCTCTCATAGTTTGTTCCAAAAATTTCCATTTAACACGGTTATATGCTTTACTGATATCTGTTTTGACAGCTAAGTAAGTTTGTGATACACGTTTTCGAGACTTGAGAGAGTGCATCAATTCATGTGCTATCATAACATTGTCTGTAATCAGTCTTCCTGGAATAAATGCAGACTGAGAATCATCAGATACAATTTGATCAAGAGATGATTTCAACCGGTTGACTAGAAGCTTTGAAACTATCTTGTACAGTACATTTCAGAGTGCAATAGGACGATATTCAGAGAGTGTTGCAGGGTTTTTTGTTTTAGGAATCATATAAATATTTGTGTGATTGATTCCCGGAGTGAAATAGCCATTTCTGAAAAAAGACTCAACCTCTTGGATCACATCATCTGCTACTATGTCCCAACATTCTTGATAGAATCTTGCTGTTAAACCATCTAGTCCAGGTGCTCTGTCTGCTCCAATTTGACATACAGCTTCGTGGATTTCCTCACGTGTGAAATCTCTTGTAATATGATCATTGATTTCCGCCGTCACTATGGGTTTGAATTCATCGAAAATTGCAGGGATTACAGGGTTATTGTCGCTACTATATATTTGCGTGAAAAATTCCTCTGCATGTTTACCAATAGCCAGGTCTCCCTGATACTCAACACCGTTATGATCCTTGATCATGTGAATTCTGTTACGAGCAAAACGTGCTTTAGTACAAGCGTGAAAAAACTGTGAATTCCTATCTCCCAGATTTAGCCAATTGTTTCGACTCTTCAGTTGCTAATATGTTTCCTCATTTCGATAAGCTTGTACTAGTTCTTTACGGATTTGGGGAATGGTGTCTCGAACTTGACTATCACGAGAAGACATAGCAAATTCAAGTTCCAATTGAAGTTCTTCTATCTGTTTTGCAGAATTTAGTTTTGCCTTTTGTCGTAAAAAAGACATTGATTTCCTGCATTCACGAATGCAGTCCATAATCGAAGCTCGTGGGGAAGACTTAAATGCATTCCAACCTCGGGAAACATATTGCTTGAACTCTTTAACTTGTAGCAAACGTTTATCAAAACGAAAAGGCTTCCTAAATTTCTGATGTACAAAAGCTACAATTGTCAAGACGGGACGATGATCAGACCCACCACCGGATTAGCCAGCCAGTCTGGGTACTTCACCTCTGTGATGGATCCGACTTTCAACAGTCTATCCACTTCGTCGTTTACTGCTTGTGCCCGTTTAGGTCCCAGCTTGCGTCTCTTTTGCTTCACCGGTTTGAACGTTGGGTCAACGTTGAGCTCATGACAGGCGATGCTGATGTCGATCCCTGGCATATCATCTGCAGCCCAGGTGAATGTGTTTACATTCTCCTTCAAGAAAGAGATTAACTCTGACTTGATGGGCTCTTCCAAGTTAGCACCGATTTCCACGCAGCGCTCCGGGTGATCATTATCAATGCACACTGAGATTACTGGCTCACAGGACGGGGCATCGTCTGTTCGCATATAAGCCAAGAAACTGTGCTTGAGAGGCAGGGAACTTAGCCAACCATTAATTAACTATGACACGATCCAAACAGCACTTGACAACATGCCTCCCTCGTTGACCAACCCAGGAAAACTTATCACCAATAGATCGCAAATCTGAGAAGTCACAAACACTATATAAATTCCGGAAATCTTCAAAGCTCTTTTCATCTCGTTGTAGACCCCCATCTTTTTCATCATTTGACAATATTTGAAATCCCCAACTAGTAGCCAAGGCCCTTGTCTTGTTTGTTTAAATCTTTTAATCCTCTTCTTGAACACAAGACAAATAAAATGCCATGCCATTGTATTCAAACATAACCATCAATCATCCTTACAGAATCAAACAACTTAGTAAAAACTACATCTTTCTTCCATAACACTGTTATACCTCCACTTCTGCCACGAAGAGGTACAGAAAACACGAAATCAAATCCTAATGAAACACACACATCACGCACAACATCACACTTATTTAAGGTTTCTACTAAAAACAACATATCTGGACACAATTTCTTACACAACTCCTTCAATCTTTCTTTTGTCAGCGGCAACATAAGGCCCTGACAGTTCCAAGATATGATCTTCATGATGACTGTGGGGGTACCGGGCCCCCCGCGCCTCCGTCCATTGGTGGTTGATCAGTACTTGATCCTTGTGTGTCACGTTTCTCCTTCTTCTTGGCCGATACAGGTCCACCCGATCGTCAATGCTCCTTAAAGGCTCATCCAACATCTCTTGCACTTCCATACGCCGACGCTTTTTAGTTGCCAAATCTGTACTAGCTTCTGCATAATCAACAAAACCATCCAGAAAATCCTCTTCTTGAAATCTCCTCTTATCCGTATTGACTGGAACATTGAAATCAGATGACATATCCGAGAACTCCATTTAAGGCAGGGGAGTAATGTGCCCAAACACATCCGGTTTGATATCTTCATTCAGAATTTGGCATGATTCCTCAGAGTCAGAATCATCATTGTTACCATAATGATGTAAAATAGTGTCGATCTCTCTACGCTTTTCAATGCACAAACGTGGTGCAGCTTCATGGTTTACAAATTCCGCAAATATTCTTCCGAAGTCGCCTGCTTTGAACTTGCATTTTGCCATCTTTGATTGCAGGTAACGCCATGTCTCTGTCGCCATGTCCCTATCATGATTGAGGGGACCCTCTGGCATCATAGGAACGGAAGGTGGACCTGCAATTAGACCAGCAGAATCATAAGCAGTAGTATCACGTTCATGTGCATCATCGCCATTAGTGTGATCTTCATTTGGGGACTGCTGTGCATCTGGATCGTTAAAATCATCATCGAAGTTCATAGGGCATTCCTTGGAATCATGATCAAGCATTCCACACTTGATGCAAAAATTGCGAAGCCTCTCATACTGAAACTTAAGGATAGTGTTCTCTCCTGGAGAAAACTGGAAATTGCGTTGAAAACGCAGTGGATTATCAATGCTCTAATTGATCTTGACACGAACAAAGGCAGCGAGATTAGCGTTCTCATCAAAGTCGACAGACACCACTGGACCAATTGAACCACTGATGAATCACATCATTGTAGTAAGATATTGCAGCGGGATTCCACGTATCTGTACCCAGAACGGAATGATCTTGAGATCAGCATCAGTTATATCTGGCCTCCACATGTGAGTCACAAGCATCCACTCATTAAAAGACCAAGGACCATGATGCAAAACCAAATGTATTGCTTCCTCAGACGAAAAGACGAATTGGAACTTCGTAGTATCCACCATCCGTCCCACCACTTGATCAGCAATACCCCATAGTCGAGGCATTTGTCCAATTAACGCTCGCATGTTTTTCTTCTTTGGATTGACCAAAACCTCAACGATGGAGAACCAGTTCACTCGCGCCGCTTGGGCACACACTGCTTCCGGAAGAGCAATCGGTGCTGCACCCAAGTCGATCTCTTGCATGCGTCGTCGAAGGTTATCACTCATCGTTCTCAAAATCCAGAAAAACTAATGAAATTGGAAAAAGAAAAAGCAACTGTTCGGCTTTATAGTGAAGGAGGGCCATGGCGGTTTTAAATCAATTAACCAACAAAACCGCCAGAGGGAATCCTCAACGGAAAGAAACCGACAAACTTGACCCAAAGAAATCGGAGAGAAACTGTCGGAACAGTGCGCTCATGAAGAGAGAGAAGAGAATTGGCAAAATCGCCATTACATTCGCACAGAGAGAGAGGAAGAGAGCTTTTCCCTCTGGGAAATAACTACATACCAATGTTGTCGCTTCAAAACCTCTTCTCCTTATATGCAAATTCAATTGCTACAGAACCTTATTTCGCAATCTCCATTAAAGCATTGGAAGCTACCTCTGAACTCAATCTGGATTACCCAAAACTCATTTCTGCTCAGCTGTCACCAATTTCGAAAGACATTGAGCAATGGAAGCTTCGTTAAATTCGAGTCTTTTTAATTTTTACTAGAGACAATTTATTATTATACAAAGAAAAATGACTCATGACTTTGAATAAACCAATAGGTGTTTACTGTGAAGTTGTTCTTCGTAAATATTAACAAAAGTCTTAACAACAGTCCCAATTTTTTAAAACTTTCACATATAATTTCCTTTTTTTGTTATAAAGAATCACACTAAAAATTCTCAATGATTATTTTAAAAAGTCCAAAAACAAATCTTCATATCTTCAAAATCTCCCTCAAATCTCTTTAAATCCAAATCCTATTAAACTTTTTAAAATCATGGATCCAATACACCCCTTAGATAGTTCTGTTTTTTTTTTTTTTGTCAACAGATCGTTCTATTAAATAAATAAAAAATAAAAATAAAAATAAAAATAAAAAACCAGTAAAAGATTTGAAACCTCTTCAGACATATGGGTTAGAGCATCCGTAACGCGAGTATTTACTTAGGTCTTTAGCAATTTTTTTAATTAAAAAATATAAGTAGAAGAAAAAATTTGTTGGAAACGTTTCTTTAATGAGTACCGATAGAGACGTTTCTTCCCTACTTTTAATATTAAAAAAATTGGGAAGAGATCAAAAACGGTATTTGCATTGTGAATGCTCTAAGATGTGTTGTGTTCGGTCTGAAAAGTAAATTATTTGTTTTTCCCAATAACAATAACAAAAAGAAGGAAAATCTTTTTTTTTCCGCGGTAACAACCAAAAAAAAAAGGAAATATTGGATCTCTCTGCGAGTAAATATGGATCTCCACCGTCGGAAAATTTTGGGAGCCACCATGAAACGCGAGGACGATGATGAGAAGGACATGTTCTGCGGCAGCAGAAAGTTAGATCCAATCCCTCTTGATCTAAAGATATTTAGTTTTCCTGCGAGATTTGGGATAAAGCCACACCAAAAGAAACGCAAGGAGCGAGATGGCAACGATAGCGAGGTCGATGAGAAGAAAGGCACAAGTCAAAGTTGTAAGCTACCTTTGATCCCTCTTGATGTAGAGGCGGAGATTCTGTCTAGATTACCAGTAAAGTCTCTTATGAAGTTCCGATGCGTGTCTAAGATGTGGTCTTCCATCATCCGAAGCCAAAGATTCGTCGATTCTTACTACGCTTTGTCCTCTGCGACGCGGTCGCGGTTTACAATTGCTTTCGGTAACGGTTTATTCATCAAGGGTGATGGCATGCCTTATCGGTTCATCTCCTCGTCTTCACACGAGGGAGAGGAATCTTCTTCTTTGGTTGCCAACCTCGACATGAAAATACCTTCCGTGCGCTTCGATATCGGCTCCAACTGTCCTTCCGTCCATGGCTTTCTCAGTTATTGCTCTCGTCATCGGTTGACTATATGCAACCCTAGCACAGGGCAAGTATTTACCTTTCCCTGCAAAGGACCCCACACATCCTTGGGATACGATCCTGTTGATGGTCAGTTCAAAGCATTGACCCTTGTGTCAGCAATTGACGATCAGCTGGATAGTGGTTATTTAGTGCACGAGGTTATAAGGCTTGGAGGAGAAGGAAGATTATCACGCAATGAGGTTACCTCCCCGCTTTATTACCCTGTAACTAGTGGACTATGCATCAATGGTTGTTTGTATTATGGTGCATGGGCCCCAAGATGGAGATCGAATCCTGTGGTTGTGTGTTTTGATGTTAGATCCGAGAGGCTGAGTTTGATCAAAGCTCCTAAGGATGTTGTGGTTTCCCATAGCAATTCAATATTCATAGAATACAAAGGTAAGTTAGCTTCTTTTGGAAGACGCACTTGGAGCTTCTCTAGATTTGATTTATGGATTCTAGAGGATGTCATGACACATGACTGGTCCAAGCAAACATTTGAACTCCCCTTAACTTTGGTGAACATGACTTCCCCGGGCACCAACAAAGCTGGTGAAATCATTTTTGCCCCAAAAGAGCTGTCATGTAAAGTCCAACCCTTCTACATTTTCTACTACAATGTAGAAAGAAAAAGCATCAGAAGAGTTAGGATCCACGGAATTGGAGATGATCAAGGGTTTAGGCACCGTTATGGATTCGGAAAGGCATGTTGCGTCTCTATGTCACCCCAACACGTTGAAAGTATTGCCTCTTTGTAATGTGTTTTATGTCCTTCTTCAAGGATCTTAATGTAAAAGCGTTTTTCTTACTCCATAAATAAATTATTTAAGAGTTTAGTTTGTTATCAACACCAAGCAATATAGTTTAGTTTGTTATCTTGCCCCCAAGAGAATCTTTCCAGTGATTGTTTGTTTTGGAGCTTAGATTTGAAAGCCCATGTTTTATCAAAGCTCCTGAGAATGTTGTGGTTTGGGAAACTCTTGAGTATATTCTCTGGTTTAAACTGATCCTCCAACTGTGGTTCTGTTTTCTTGTTGATGTCATTTCATGTTCCAAAGACAATGGAGGGAAGCCAGGAACAGAACAATTAGGTAAAGCTGGTCTTTCGTCACACTATGCAAATCTAGTCCAACAAACCGATAGTATTGTAAGCTTCCAGGTCCTCACCATTCCTGTTCTGATACATATTTCCTTGCCTCGGTTCTCACATTGTTTAACCTGTTTAGGCTCTCTTACATGGTTTTATGGCTTGTCGCAAAAACCTTGTAGTTGAGATTGGGTTCCAGCTTGTGATCTCGAAAGGAAACTAACAAAGAGATTCCACAAATTTCTTAACCTTTCACCATCATTATCAAAAGCTGCATAAACAAGGGACCCATTGAACATGGATACTCATCTCGAACATGTACCATCTCAATTTCAGGTAGATTTCTTTCATCTGTTTTTTTTTTTTTTAATCCTCAAAATTATTCCTAAGATAACAAGTTGTTCTACGGTTAATTTTCTTCGGAACGTCAACCAGCAAAACAAGCATCATCATGTGCAGCAGGAGTTTTACAGAACTTTGATTGACTCATGGGATCAAACTATCATCCAGACACAGTCTATCCAATTCGTATCCAACAAGCCTAGCTTCTACATACAGTTGGATGCTCCTGCTCAGTCATTTTTGTTTTGTCTTACAGGCCACACGTCATATAATCAGTATAATATATGTTTCTGGATGCTTATTACAATATTACGTCTGAAAAAAAAAAAAAAAAAAACTCAAGTCAAGGTTACTTATAGGTGTTTTGTGATAAATCTTTCTCTTGTAGCGCTCGCGTTTTTTGGTTCATTGATTTCAATAATCCAAAGATGATGTATACATTTGCTATCCAAATTTATTTATGTTTAACAGTTGAAGGCTAGTAACTAAATTGTGTTTGGATGTTCACTTTCGTCAAAATGGTAGAAAATTCGAATCCCACATGTCAGAGAGAATGATGCAATGAGCCTAATATCATTTCTCATTCATTTCGACGTTACTCTCAAGATGTAAATTAACTTGTGAATATTAACATTAATTTATCTTTTACTGACAGGAGAAAAAATGTTGTTGCCTTTTTTTTTTTCCAGTAAGGTAAGATTCGAAAAATAGGTTGACTAAAATAATAGGTGTAGTCAATAAAATAAACCTCCTCTCCAAAATTGACTAACATGTTGAGTTTAAGTAAGTTCATGATTTTGTATACCAAGTTCATGAATATATGACATTATTGTTTCTTTTTGTATGACTCAAACTTTGTTGCTTTAAACACCAAATAAAACAGTAATGAGAAACAAAAAATAATAATGAAGAAAATATTCCATTTTTTAAATAAGGGAGAATTACTAAAATAACCTTCAAAAGTTGGAAAATGACTAAAATGATGCCAATTTTTGGAAATTACTAAAGTAATCTTTTGTACCTATTATATCCTTTTCGCATGTGTTGACAAAAACGTAATAACGAAAATGCCATTAATGAATTTTTGCCACGTCAGCAAAAAAACGGGGGAATTAAAATAAATCTATCACTCTTTGGTGATAGATTTAATAAATCTATCATAGACTTATTTTAATAGATGTTATGGTAGACATATTTTGGAACGATATATTTATTTGCTATGATGATAGACTTAATAAGTCTACGAAAGACTTAATAAGTCTACGAAAGACTTAATAAGTCTACGAAAGACTTAATAAGTCTACGAAAGACTTAATAAGTCTACGAAAGACTTAATAAGTCTACGAAAGACTTAATAAGTCTACGAAAGACTTAATAAGTCTACGATAGACTTATTTGTCTTATATGGTAGATTTAATTGGAGTGATAGACTTATTATTAGTGGTGGTAGACTTATTTCTTTACGTAGTGATGATATATTTAATATTTTGATGGTAGACTTAATTACCTGTGATAGATTTATTTTCTTTGCCGATAAACTTGTTTACCTATGCATGTTATGATAGATATGTTTATAGTTATGACAGATTTATTTGACATTGGTAGACTTATTTCTTTTAACGATAGACATATTCAATTTTTGGAGTTTTACAGATCTGCCACGGCTGATAGATTTATTGGGACCATGGTGGTAGACTTATTAAGTCTATCGTAGACTTATTAGAATATAATGGTAGACTTATTGACCTATGAGTGGTAAAAGACGAATTTGCCCTTGCATTAACTTCATATTCTTCATTGGTGAAACTAGGGTTGGCCGCCATCAACGAAGAGAAACATGTACTTTTCATTTTTCTTGGGTTTTTTCTCTTGATTTTCGTTTCTTTATTCTCTCCTAACTTTTCTGGGATTCTTCTCTTGATTTTCTTCTCTTGATTGAACTGTTTTCATCGATCTCCTCCATCTCAACGAAGAGAAACTGTTGTAGATCTGTTTTTTCGTAACTTCAATAACTTCTTCAATCTCCTCCAAAGATGCACCAAAGAGAAGTGAACAATGGGTCAAGGAAAGCAATCATTTCAGTCCGATACAGATTTGAATCTTGGGAAGCTCTTTGTCGGAACAAATTCATATCTGCCACAATATGTTGCAGAACAAACCATTAAGTTCATAAGTCTACCATAACATAACGTCATAAAATATATAAATCTATCATAACTTCATATTAAATATACGAAAGTCTATCATAACGTAAAAATAAATCTACCACAAAGTTCTAAAAGTCTATCACAACATCCTAATAATTTTAACATAAGTCTACCATAACGAGTAAACTTACCATATCACCTAACCAATTGTATCTGAAGTCATCCTTTCGCCACAATTGTTTTGGTGTTATCAATTTCATGTAGAATTCTATTCCTGCAAGAGGGATATCCAAAGGATTCTCTCTAAAACCCGAAAATGTCAAAACATGAAAATGATCATGAAGCTTTATTGATCTTTTTATTATACGTACATTCGTTTCTGGTTGTTTACATAAGCGGCAACATATATCACATACATTATACTACAAAAGAGAACCGAATGTACAAAACTGCTCACAATACAAAAAAAGAGAGCTAAATCCTGAACATGTCCGAGGTATTTCTCAAATATGCATTGCTTCATACCTTCGCTCCTATCTTTTGAGCAACCTGCAAAACAAAGAAACATTCATTACACAATAATAAAGACAATGGGACGTATGTGATTCAGCATCATCATCACGATAAGTAGACAAACAATCACAAAGGCAGAACAGCTAAAAACATTATTGAGCATGTATATATGAACTAAATAGAAAAGGCTAAGTAAACTCACAAGCTTCATGATGGCAAAGTTACAAACGAAAAAGAAAACCAATTCAATCTAAGCTACTAATTGCAATCTCAGAATCTACGAGTAACAGAAAGGTCAAGTGAGTAATGAGAAATCAACATGTTTAAAACAAAAAGCTCATAAATCATCATCACATAAAACGCTAATCTACAAAAGTCTACCATCAAGCAATATATCAATTTTTTTAACCTAGAAATAAATCTATCATCAAGTAACAATTAAATCTACCATCAAACAATCAATACTTTAACCTAGAAATAAATCTACCATCAAGCTATAAATAAATGTATCATAACTATCAAATTTTTAAAAAAATCAAGACAATACAAAAAAATAAATCTATCATCACATTAAAACAAATCTATCACCAAGTAAATACCTCAAATCGTCACATTAAAACAAATCTATCACCGTAAATACCTCAAGTAAATAAATCTATCACCACATTAAAACAAATCTATCACCAAGATAATACACAGTAAATACAAAGTAAATACCTCAAAGCCGGATTTGTAAATGTGGTTCTCGGATTCGTCGCCGGAATCATCGCCGGAATCGTCAAACCTAAAAAAATCATGAACAAATTTTAGAAGGTTTCGATTTTTGAGAAGGTTTCGAATTTCGAGACAAAACACTAGATCTATTTACCGAGAGAAGCTCGAGACTATCGTCACCGTTGCCGGAGGAAGAGAGAGCTCGAGAGGATATCACGGCGGAGGAGGAGAGAGCTCGAGGAGAGACGCCGGAGGAGGAGAAACCTGAAAAAAACCTGATAAACTTTTAGAAGGTTTCGATTTTTGAAACAAAAATCCTAGATCTAAAAACTTTTTCATCGTTATGGAAACAAAACCCTAGGTCTAAAAACAAAATCTACTTCGGCGGAGAGAACACGGGGAGAGAAGACCTCACCGGAGAGAGCTTGGGTCGTGCCGGAAATTAACGGAATTTGCAGAGCCGCCGGAGAAGAAGACAGGAAGAGGAAGACTCGGGTCGTCTCGGCTCGTCTCGTCGCCGGAGGGGAGAAACGAAGAGTTCGGCGCAGAGAACACCGGAAGAGGAAGACTCGCCGGAGAGAACTGAGGTCACCGCCGGAAATCGCCTGAGAGCCGCCGGGGAAAGAGAGAGAAAGAGTTTGGATGAAAATGAAAGTTTATTTAGGGTTTGAGAAATCGGGTAGATTGTGTTGTGATTCCTTTTTCTTTTTTTTTTTAAAAAATTTGTAATAATGGCAATTTTGTAATAAAAATGAATTTTTAAAAATTAAAGGTTTTTTCACCATACTTCCCCAACTTTCAAATCCTAGAAAATTGTTTGAGATTGTTTTAGTAATTATCTCTTTAAATAATCGATAAAATATGTCAAAAGATAATTATTACAGTCAAAAAAAAAATGATAGACCAGTAACAAAATCAATGAGATTTAAATTATTAAAAAGAAAGAAACTGACATTGTTATACCTTTTGTCTTAGCTCGTAAACTACATTTTCCGACCCTTAAAGTCTTCGAATTAACCGATTTCCCCCACTCCTTCCTCGTCGTGAATGGAACCGACGGTAACACCGTTGGAGCCGGAGGCTCAATTGGGAGATGAATTCGTTCACGTCGATGACCAAAGGCCTCCCGGAGAAACCTCATTAAGCGACAGCATAGTGAATGTGGAGAACGAGGAGGAGGAAGAAGAACATAGCGATTCCGGTTCAGTGATAACCGGCGTCGGTTCGATCGTTGAGTCTGGTGACGATGGTATCTACAGTGGAGAGGATGGTGGTGACTTTGCTGTGGAGACGAAGACGAAACTGGAGCTGCCTGAGGAATATGCGAAAAGCGTTATGGTTCTAACGTGCGATTCCAAAGCTGAGGGAGGATCTTGTGATGTGTATTTGATTGGTACTGCTCATGTATCAGAGGTATCTTCTTTTAAAAATTGAAACTTTCTGACTGAATTTGTGATTTTTTGTTGAAAGATTTGAGCTTTATGCAAGGAACATTGTGAATTTGTGAAAATATGGTTTATAATGACTTGAAATTGAGATCAATGTTCATATGCATAATGCATTGTGTAGTTGTTTTGATCGTTGCCGTTTTTGTTTTGTTTTATAGGAATCATGTCGAGAAGTTGAAGCTATAGTCAGCTACATGAAACCAGAGGTTCTTCTCTTTTACAGTGAACTATTTTATATATCTTTCTCTCACTCTCTAAGTACGTGGCTGTTGTATTGCAGGTCGTCTTCGTAGAGTTGTGTCCAAGCCGATTGTCTATTCTCACTCCTCAGGCTGTGAAGGTTTTTGCTCTACATAATGCCTATAAAATTCTCTGGTTTTAGTTTAACAATGTGATAACCCTGGACTAGACTGTGCATCATCTTAAGATTAGCCAAAATTTCTACTGGAATTACTGGAAAACTTTGTCTAGAGAATGAACTTCACATGTTTTTCTATGCGATGATATATCACACGTAGTTATCTACCAGATGTACATATCTTGTAGCTCTTCTTCTTGTGCAGTATCCATGTTCTTTATTCTGGAAAGTTGCGATGTTCTTGGTTTTTTCCAGGTTCCGACCGTGTGGGAAATGATAGACATGTGGAAGAAGAAACACAATCCATTCGGAATAGTCTATGGATGGTTTCTTGCAACGGTATGCTTTCTCCGTTTATATCTTCTTTGATGATAGCTTAAATTTTCGTACCGTTAACTTACATCCTTTTCTTATGTTATGTTTAGATCGCCAGCAAGCTTGAAGTTTTACCTGGTGCTGAGTTTCGTGTGGCATATGAAGAAGCAGACAAATATGGTGGCAAGGTGATTTTCTAGGTGATCGTCCAGTACAGGTGGCTTTTGGTGATTCAAGAATATGTGTTTATAGTCTTAAAACTTTCTCTTGAGGAATGTTATGCATTGGTTATTTCAGTTTTCAATCAGTTTTTCACTTGAAACAGATCACGTTAAAGAGAACTTGGGCTAAAATGCCTCTATGGCACAAAGTAAAGTTTCTGTACAGCTTAGTGTTTCAAGCTGTCTTTCTACCAAGCCCTGAGGAACTTGACAAGATGGTACAAAGTCTTTTGCTTACTTTTTTCTTTTTCGTTTTCTCTTTAAAGTTTATGTGCTTCAAGTCAGTGTAAATAATGAGTAATGATTAAATTGTATGGATTTTAGCTGAAAGCTATGAACGATGTGGATATGCTGACATTGGTGATTCAAGAAATGAGCAAGGAGTTTCCATCTCTCATGGATACACTTGTGCATGAGAGAGATAAGTTAGTATTTTATTCCTCTCTCTCTCTAAATATAAAGTTCATCAGATTAATTGACGGCTTTCTCTAAAACTTGCATTATCAGTAGTAGTTCTGTTGAATGTGTATCTTATATGATGCTTCTTGAAACCCAAAAGGTCTCTCCTGGAGTCCTAAACACCATGATGATCATAAGAGATTTCTCTGTTTCTCTTATTTGCTAAGTTTTAAAAGTGAACAGTAGTTTCCTGATTATTTCGAAAATTGTTGCGTTAGGTACATGGCATGTATGTTGTTAAGAGTTGCAAGTGAGCATAGCTCGGTCGTGGCAGTTGTTGGTAGAGGGCATCTTCAAGGGATCAAGAAGAACTGGAACCAACCTATAAAGGTTAGTAGCCACAATCTTTTTTCAATCTCGATTTTGATTAAACGTCACAGAGATGAGCTAATCAATATTGTGCTAATGGTATTGCAGATGAAGGATCTGTTGGAGATACCGAAGAATGAATCAATTTTTACTGTAAAGAATTTTCTGACATCTCTGGCGATTCTAGTCTGTTGGACAGGTATAGTTTCCCGCATATCTATTGCAAGCAGAAGTTAAACAAATCTCGAGGCAGAGAGAATAATCTCTCATGAGGCCAATAAATATTAGGCTAAATAACAGATGATTTTACATAGATTTGCAGTAGCTGTTATAATCTATGTTGTCATGATTTTATTTATCTTTGGTTTATCGGTTGAATAATTTCGTAACAGTTATACAAATCAAAAATCTTTCCCCTCCAGTTCTTCACTCAACTACTACTTTCTTTAAAGAAAAAAACTATCTGGATTCCTCTACAATGAATCCAGTTTTTGACTCATGTCTCACGTCTCAAACCTTAAGCTGATTTACAAGTAGTATTATTTTCGCTAACTACCTAATCGAATATCATGCCAAATTCGATCGAATATCACGTATAGACCCATAGTGTAACAGAGTAACAGACACACACACAGACAATGACACAAACAAGACCCAACTACACATCAAGTTACTATCATGAATTTCTTATTTTCCCCCAAGTCCTTTTTACATGCATTCAGCAACTTGTACTTTTCGCTGTATATATACATAACGCATTGTGAATTCACAGTATCATTTTTTATCCCATAAACATCATTTTTTTTTGTAAATATGATTGTGACAATTGTCTCATACACCCAAGAATTCACCATGGAAATCAGCGAACAAGAATCTGTGTTGAACATTAAGAGCATGTGCAATGAGAGAGACCATTTAGAGTCTCTATCCCTTTTTTTATTAATAAAATGGATAGTTTTAGTAGTAGAAACCTAAGAGAGAGACTTTGTATTTTTGTATGCTCCAATGGGAGAAATTCTAATGATTTCTTAAAATTTTTTTTTAAAAAATCTAGTTTTTATTTTACTTTAAACTTCTATGTTACATAAAGTTTACATTATATTTCTTATTAAACTTCAATTTGACATAAAAAAAAAAATTTTACATTAAACTTCAGTTTTTATTTTACATTACAACATTAGAAGAAATACTAAAACATTACAACAAATAGAACATAAAATATTATACATTACACTTGTGATTGATTTTTGAGCTTAACCAAATTTTTGCCAGATGTGTTCAACCAAATCAGCTTTTAATTTGTGATGCATATCTGGTGCTCGAATTTTTCTTCGGGTATCCATCATATTTATAATATTTGTTGCCATGTTTGTGGAGTACGAGTAATCCACATTAGAACTTCCGCCTCCTTCTCCTTGTTGGAATTCTTGAACATTAAAGTGTTGGTATCCTTCTCGTTCGTCTTCAACTATCATATTGTGGAGTATGATACAAGCTCTCATAATCTTTTCAATTTTTTCTTTATCCCAAAACAAAGCTGGATTTTTGACAATGGCGAAACGAGCTTGCAAAACTCCAAAAGCCCTCTCGACATCTTTACGGGCAGATTCTTGGCGTTCAGCAAATAAACATGCTTTTGGACCTTGTGGTTTAGGTATAGATTGGACAAAAGCTGCCCATTTGGGATATATACCATCTGTCAGATAGTACGCCAAATGGTACTCCGTTCCATTGACAAAAAAATTAACTCTCGGAGCTTGACCATTTATAATGTCATCAAAAACGGGCGACCGATCCAAAACATTTATATCATTTAGGGTACCTGGCGGTCCGAAAAAGGCATGCCAAATCCAGAGATCGTATGAAGCTACCGCTTCTAAGACTATTGTCGGTTTCCCAGAACCTCGTGTATACTGGCCTTTCCAAGCGGTTGGACAATTCTTCCACTCCCAGTGCATACAGTCAATGCTTCCTATCATCCCGGGAAATCCGCGTTCTTCTCCCATATAAAGTAGACGTTGAAGATCGTCTGCTGTGGGTCTTCTGAGGTACTCGTCGCCAAAGAGATTTATAATTCCGTCAACAAAATTTTCCAGACATGAACGGGCTGTACTTGCACCAAGACGTAGGTATTCGTCAACGGTATCAAGTGCCGTGCCATAAGCTAATAGACGAATTGCGGTTGTACACTTCTGAAGTGCCGATAGACCAAGTCTACCCCGAGCATCTTGCTTCTGTTTAAAGAAAGTGACTTCGTTGGAGAGCCGATGAACAATACGCAAAAACAATGCCTTGTTCATCCTAAAACGTCGCCGGAAAAGGTGATCCGGGTAAATTGCGTTTTCGCTGAAGTAATCATTCCACAATCTTATGTGGCCTTCCTCTCGGTTTCTTTCTATGAAAGCTCTTTTCTTCTTGGATGAGGTTGCCTCTGCTTGATCAGCTAAATCAATTAAGAGGTTTTGGAATGTGTCTTCGTAAAACTGATCATAAATCTGATCATAAGTTTCATCAAAGGGATTTTGGGAAGAAGAAGCCATAAGAAAATAGAAGAGATGAGAGAATTTGGTTAAAGTGAGTACGAGGATTTGGTAATTTAGAGAGGTTGGAATTTGAGAATGCACAATGAGAATGAAAATGAGAGTATAGATTGTATTGAGAAAAAGAGTTTGTGGACATTGTGTATATTAAAAACGACGTACATATATATAGAACGATGGAGAATCATTTTCTCTTAGAAAGATGGACAATAATACAAAGAACAATAATACAAAGACAAAGCCAAATATGGACCCAAAAGAACAATAATTCTCTTTGAATTTTTCACCCACATGTTGTTGTCTCTTTGTGTAAGCTGCATCTTTACTTTGATGAACCCGTGACTATCTTTTCACTTTATGTCTCCACAACACACTTTGAACACTGAAATACAAAGACATAAGTTTAAAAGCCAGGTCAATAAAGATTCTCCTCTAACATTAGAACATTACACATAAGGGACAATTATGAAACTGAACCATACCAAACTAAACACTAACCACATAACAGAGAACTCTAAAACTGAAACATAACAGACACAAACATCATAAAAATAACAGACACCTAACAGACACATAACGGTTACAAACATGACCATGTAACAAGTTCCAAGTCACTGATTCTGCATCATTTCGGAGATAAGCTGCATCTTCAGAGCTTCTTCTTCTTCACAAAGGGGTCCCTTCGCAATAAGGGAATCAAGAAGAGCCATCTTTTGGGTTTCTTTTTTCAAAACCAGTTCTTCTCTTTTCATACCCCACATGTTGCTGAACACATTAACAGCCTCAACCACGTCGACCTTTTTGCCTTTAGCCTTTGCGGCTTTAACACCAGGAGGTCTGACCGTTCCCTGATTAGCTGCACCATTCTTGTTTCCATCTTCATTCCCCTCTGCATTTACATCATCGGGTCTCCTCCTTTTACAGCTTGCATTGGTTTTAATGGCTGACAAATCACACCATTTCTGATCGTTCTTCAGCTCCTTCCAAGCGTGTTCCATACTGAATTTTTTCTTATGGATATTGAAGAAAATAGCATGCGCATTTTTGAGAATGTCATTCTCGTTTTGACCACTAGTTTTTTCTCTTGTTGCAGCCTCATAAGCCCCACAAAACTTGCACACAAGATCATTAATCTTGTGCCATCTTTGTTTGCATTGTCCTGCCTCTCGGACTTCTCCTCCGTTTTGACTCGCTGCAAAATACAAAGCTATGCGGCTCCAGAAAGTTCCATTTTTCTGTTCATTTGCTACAACCGGGTCCTTCGAGGTGTTTAACCAGGCGCTGATGAGAAGGGTATCTTCCGCAAGGCTCCAAGGTCGTCTTATCACCTTGCTCGTCACTCCAACCTCTTCTACTTCATCGATGGAAGCTTGGGTACCAAAGGCAGGGTTTTCTAATGAAGGGTATGGATTTGGGTAAGGGTTTACACTCTCTTGTTGACTTTGTAAAAGATCAACAAAGTTTGAGGGGTTGTTAAATGGGAAGCGAGAAGACATAATGGTTGAATAGAATAGAGAATAGAAAGAGGGAAATGGTTGAAGAAAATTTGACTAATATGAATAGAAAGTGATGAGAACGAGAGAACAGAAAGAGAGAATAGAAAGAGGGAACAGGATGAAAGGAATGCGAAAAAGAGAAGAATTTATAGAAGCATGAAAAACCACAAACAAGAAGCATTCATCATTCTACGCCTACCTTAAACACAACCATATACAAGAAGCATTCATCACAAGGGTTTAGACTTGACTAGACATATATCTACCTTCTACATTAACTAATCCCTTATTCCATTTATTATCTAACACTACCTAAACCCATTTAATACAACTACCTAGTAAGTGATTGTACCTTACCTTTTCAGGATATTGAAGATGGATAGCCTTATGCAGATGTGCTTCTTCTCTCCTCTTCCTGTCATTCCGCAACATTCACTCGGCGTGCATAGAACAAAGGCGACAATAAATAAGAGTTAGCAAAGAGAACCTATACAAACAACAGTTAATGAACTACAACTACACAAACAAGACATGGATAAGACAATCACAGTTAATGAAGTTCAACTATAAAGAAAACAAACAAATATAAAGAACTTGACCAACTATTACCAACGTTCAGGTTAGCTTACAACCGGAACCATAAAGTACCAATGCTCAGAACTTATTTCTTAAACAAAACAAGCAGAGTTAATGAACGTGTCAAACTATAAACAAACTTAAACATATACAAACTGATACAAAGATGGAAGACAAACTTAAACACACCAAAACTGATCCAAATGTAATCGTGAGATTAACTGAAACACCAAGAAGAGTTAATGAGCATGAATTCTCCTCTTGTCTATCTTGTCGAATTACAACTCAAAACAAGAACAAACAAAGCAAAAACAAAATTCCACATTGAGGCGATATGAAACCCAAAGTCGAAGACCATATCATCCCAGACCAAATCGGCATAGAAATCAAATCACAACTTAAACCCGATAAATCTACACCCTTTTATTAAACCATTTCATCCCAAACATAGAATCTAAATACAAAAATCAAAACAATTTCAATTTGACGCTTTGCTTACCTTCGCCGACAGAAGCTTCAATTGATCCTTCATTCCGCCAAGCAGATGTTGCGAGGACATCGTTATCGGGTAGAACGAAGACTGTTTTGATTTCAATCGCCGACAGAAGCTTCAATCGCCGACGGAGAGAACGAAGCTTCAATCGCCGACAGAGAGAACAAGAGTGAAAAAAAAACAAAGTTTTCGGGTAAAAAAAAAGAGAATGCATTTTCTTCCATCTCATTTTTTTGGTTCCAATAACAACACGCCACGTGGTCGCCAAAAACGTTTCTCCAGTCTCTAATTTCGCGACG